TCATTATTAAGATAGGAATCATATGAATTTTTGAAATGTTGATAACACAGATTTTGTAGGAGTTACAGTGTAATTTTTGCGGTGCATATTTTGAATTATGAAAAGTACTTCATAAGTTGCACCATTATCTTTTAGCAATTCATTTTTAAACAGATCCATTTTCAGCTAAATAATTAGAAAAATGACCTGCTGTGCTACTATCGTACTTTTCCACAATGTATCCCTGCGTTGAGCATGAGTGTACTTTTTGCGTAGTGTTAATGAAATAATAAGACGATACTAAATTCGTATGTAAAGTAGATCAAGACCCACAGGAACCGCTAAGAGCAACACATTACATGGTCAGGGGGCAATCATTGCCACCAATTGCGGATCTCCGAGCATATTACGCTTTACTATGTTGTATGATGTGCGGTTTGGTGTTTTTGCAATAACCGGAATTTTTCTTCATTTATTTACTATTTTTCGTGCATGAGTGATTTAATTGCAATGAAACATTTTTTTAAATAGTTAGCAAAAGTTTTAACGCACTTTATTCATTATTGTGCTTTCGAAGCTCTATTGTCGATACAGTAACCTTGTTAGCAAATACAATATTAATCATAAAGTATCCAGACAATATTTTTTCATACCTTTATTTCACATATTGAATTATCTACGGAATTTCATTTTGATCAATTACGAAAAGGAGCATACTGACGTGTTACCGGTGTACAGGGGAAGCATACTCCTCCATGGCATCGGACAAATCGCATGTTCTGATGTTTTCAGAGGTCCGCGCTTGCTCTTCGTCCTTCGTTTCAAAAAACGATGTTTTGTTCCAATGTACTTTGAGCTTGATTATTGTTCGTTATCTCTTTCTTAAGCGATTTTACATGTAAGTTATGTTGTACATTGACGTAGTTTTTTTTAAATCGCTTTGAAATTTCCCTTTTGTAGAAAATAAAATGTAAAATTAATGATAAATATATATAGAACGAATATTAAGTTTACATTTAATTCGCTTTTTAAGCCATAATGTTCATAAGGTAGGAAATGTACTTATATCCGGAACAAAAACCATAAACTGAGATAAGACTTAGGTCAAATTTCCTTTGACATAATTTTCTTAAGAAAACAAAATAACTATATGTTTAAATTGGAATATCACACAAACTTTTAAATTTTTAATCCTATGTATTATAACAAGCTTTTTAAAATATTTTTTTTCTTAAGTTTGTTCTCAGTCTCCAGTATCGGTCTCTGTGGTGCTTATGGGTTGATTCGTTGATTTTACTTGGATGAAATACCAGTACATCGCTGGTTCAACCGGAAGTAAGCCGATAGCCTTTTCGCTAAATTGACCGAGACGGTGCTGATAGAGTGCGTTGACAAAGACAAACCGGGTGAAAGAAACAGTGAGTAAATGCTTAGTAAAAATACGCAATGTTTATATAAATATACTGTTATTTGAAAGTTGAAATGTGGAGAAAAAAAAAAGACAAACCGGGTAATAAACAACATCCATTGCCCATAGTTGGGCATAAAACAGCAACCTTTGGGACACTGTCCAAACGTATGACCAACGAGTTACCGGTATATGCTACAATTAACCAAATTATTTATTTTAGATATAACCTATCTAGCTGAATTTAGACAAACTAGGAAGCTTCTATACGATGGCCGATCACAGCCGCCACTTCACAACTTAACTTACTGTCTTCTGTACAAGTAAAATTTGACAATTTAGCACAGACAGAATACACAAAAACCTTTGGTGGTTAACGTACATGTACAATTTGACAAATTCTCCAAGTACATAATGCACAGAAACTTTAGTTGCTTTTTGTGCATAGAAATTGTCAAATTGACAAAAATGACAGTTTCTTACAAAAGGCCACTGCTTAACATATTCATGTTGATTTTGAACTTTAATAATATAAAAAAGAAAAATTAATATATGAAACATTGAAGGACGTGTCGGACGACATGTGAACAGAAAAACCAGGCCCGTAGGAAGCGGTTTCAGTTTGGAGGGAGGGGGAATGAGGGCAAAGCTTACATGCATGTGTACATTTTCGGAGGGGGCACTATCAACTACCAAAAATTCATTGACAAGCAACTAAAAAAAGAGATAAAAAAAAAACGTTTTTATTGAGGGGTCAGAAGCATATGGTACCTACAAAGTAGCTCTGGTTTATAAAGTATTCTATATAACTGAAAAATTATTGAGTGAGCACATCCCGTTCCCCCACCCCCGGTACTTGTTAAGACTGGAAATCCGGATTTAGAGTGGTAGTTGGGATATGAGGCAGTTGATACAGGTCCGGGCTGTTGGAAATGACCCAGCATTATCAATGAAGCTTACGGATGACGGAATGCCTTACGAAAGTTCAAAATCTCCATATATATGTCAAGTAGAAGGTCTTTTGTTAGAAACTGTCATTTTTGTCAATTTGACAATTTCTATGCACAAAAAGCAACTAAAGTTTCTGTGCATTATGTACTTGGAGAATTTGTCAAATTGTACATGTACGTTAACCACCAAGGGTTTCTGTGTATTCTGTCTGTGCTAAATTGTCAAATTTTACTTGTACAGAAGACAGTAAGTTAAGTTGTGAAGTGGCGGCTGTTATCGGCCATCGTACTTCTAGGCCTCTTAATGTACAATACATTTGGGTATTAGTCGAGATAGGTTTCAGGTTTCATTGAAGCGAAAACGTTTTGAAATTGTAATTCGAAGAAATATTCATTACCTAAAATTTTATCATTTCATACATAATAATCACGCTTTCTTACAATTTTGTGAACTTTTCTGGCATTTTGAACTTCATTGAAAACTCACTTCTACAAAAACTCTCTCTTAAGAACAATTATCTTTATTAAAAAATATAACATGAAATGAGGCACACTGGAATAATTCAAGACCCAAAACTAAACTCGTGGTGTGCAATTACAACCTAGTTCCCTGGGAGATTTTCAGAACTATAAACCACCCAGACGGTTGTCGACGTTGAGTACCACTTCATGTCGAAAAATATTCGGAGGCCACTTCATCTTTACAAAGAATGGGTTGTGCTGGCTCTTCATATGACGCAAGTTGGAATATTTTAATGACAGCAACAAGGAAATTCTTTGTTTTGTGTAAGAAAAAAAATTCTTGCTCACAACTTTTGAATAACAAATCAGTGTAAAAAGGCGAGCGCCATGCCATGGTTACATGCAAAACCAAGGGTGCTAAAAGCATGTTCGCTGTCATTCACTTATTTTAATCAGTTAAAATTAAATAAATCAGAGAGTCTCGACATCTTACTGTTTATTTTAAAAATGTTCATGGGAAATGTACTGTTGCAGTGTACCAAAGTAATTTGCAGGAGACGGACCCACCAGATGGAAAAATCTGCAATGGCTTCCCATTCTCCTCCTGTAGTAACGTAAACCATATATAAAGATACAAAGTCACCCTATAACATCAAATAAACTTCAGCCTTTTAAGACACTAACATGCTTTTAAGTTTCTAATCTTCAAACCCGATATTTTCATTGCAGAATCCAGATTATTTTATAACTAAGATATAGTTCTAGATTTTCAAACAGTATATTATTTAAACGACTATGCAAACAGGACTATTTGTAGTCGTAAAGTACATGTTCGTGATGATATAATTTACATGCTCTATCATGCTCTATTTTTTTCTCTGCTAAAAAATTATTTGAAAGTAAATGAGTCATTTTAATGAAATTTAGAAGGCTAATTGTTAAATATCACGTAAACCGTACAGTAACTAAGATCATTACGTGATGGACCTAGGTGAACACAACTGTTTTTGAGGACCATCAGAAGTCATTGGTTTTTTTGTTTGGGATAAACTTTTCTAGATTAAGCATTACGTGAATGTCCATTCAATGCAATGCTAAATAAAAGATTAATACAAACCTGTGCAGTGGCATAAGATCATCTTACATTTGATTGAAAATCATCTAATGCAAACTACTACCGGTAATTCACTTAATATTTCATCAGATTTCTTGCTTATGTTTTTGTTTGTATATTCAAATGCGATGTGGCAAATTTATAGTTATTGCTATATACTGTATAAAATAAAAGATAGTAATAGAACTGCTGCTATCGTAGAAATGAGCAATACCTCGAGGGAAAATTCAGCCTACTTCAACTAATTTTATTAGCATGGCACAAAAACCATGGGTTGCTATGTTTATTCTATGTTGATCAATTTGGACAAGTGAATATTAATTTCATAACTGTTACTATGGTTCTTCTCTCGCCAATCAACATGTTTAGAACATATCTTATTGTATAATTCATACAAAGGGATTGGTAACAAGTTCTTGCAACTTAGAAAGACCTTTCCCTGAAAATCATTAAAACCATTACATCAAAATGTCAGTGTCTTCTTGCCCAATTATAATTTGCCAAATTGCAACCTCGTAGGAATGGCGTGAAATAAGTTATTTCTAATAGAACAACCTTGGCTATTTTTCACTTGTTTAGCATGCATGCATGAAATAAAATGTTACTTTTTAATCACAAATAAATCACCCACTTATACACTGGGTAGAGATATTTTATATCTGTTACAGAATACCTTGAAATATTTTTGTCAATGAAATCTCTGCAACAAAATAATGCACAAGGCATTTATTTCAAATTAAGGCTTATAAAAATTTGGAAACCAATCCCGTAAATTCCGGAACATACTTGTGCTTCAAATAAGAGGTTCCTTTTAGGCGACACTTCATTAAAGTGAAACATTTAAACTTGTTCTCTGGTATTTGCAGAACTGAATCATTGTGATTTGCAAAATACACTTATCTTAGTATTCGTGTAATCCACTTGATTTCTCGTATTTTCATTCTCTGTTGCTTTTCTCTGTAAGCAACAAAACTAAAGTTTTGTTCTTTTCCACTTATATTTTGAAATTCTGTAATAAGTATCATTATTGCCCTTTTCTCCTCCCTAGTCTTTTGTTTTTAAATAACAATGAATTATAGTTTTAAAAATCTTTTTCAAAATCTTTTATTTTATTTTGTAACAAAATATATATTGTGGCAAATACATACAGTTTATCACATTTACAAGGATTGTCGATCTGTTCATTATACAAAATATAAATTGTATCAGTAATTTGTATTCATTAAGGCGACTGGAATGGTATTCACAATAATCTTTGTTCGATGATATTTACAAATGTATGTAAAGCAAAAGCTCAACAAGTATGACGTAAAAACGTGCGGACGATTTGATGAAAAAAGGGGGAAAATATGGCTAATGATATGTCGACGACTTTTATAATTGAATGATTGTGAAAAGAATCATTTTCTTTTGCTACAAATTGACGTAAATAATATGCTTTATACCATTCTTTTTTTTTTTTTTTGTTATCTGTTGTTTTGGCATTTACAGTGATGAAAATAATTTTGTGAACTTTGAAAACCAGCACTATCAAAGGAAGGAAAAGATGTCAAACGATGAACGTTGCGATGGATTGTGCGATGAATATTTCAAAATAAGTTTGTTAATCGAAGACATTTTCTTCAGGTTCCCCACTTTTTTTGTTCTTTCGAAATAATTTTTTCAGAAGTCCTTTGGGTCCTTTCTTGCTCTTCGTCGGTGTAGTTTCAGGCAATATAACGTTCAATTTGATCCGGATCTGACGTAGAATTCCCGCTAAAAGTTCGTCCACGTGGTGGTGCAGTGTAACAGATGTCTCTATATATTTAGCATCATGTCGATCTGCAACTTTTCTGACCTCTGATAAAAAAAATAGAACAAAAACTTTAATTCAAGAACAAAAGGTGTGCTTCATTTTCTTGATTTAGCAAAGAAAAGATCAATAAAGCACAATCTTTAGGTTAATGCTTCATAAATAACGCAGTGAATTATCTTCTTTAGTGCATGGCATAGATTTGTTTAATCAGCCATTAAAACGTATCAAAAATAAAGGTAATGTTACACTTGAAATCTTTAATTATGACGTGTTATCAACTCCGGGGGGTCTCCTCTCTAAAGCAAATCTCATTCTTATCAGCATACGCACTCAATACTGTTTGCAATGAGGATTTATTCATAGGGATATCCTTTGTTTTAACGCATTTATACTTAATGCAGCAAAAGGTTAACGGGTCGTTATTACTTTGAACAAGTACTACAGTTTTTTTTTTCTTAGCAAGCCTTCATTTTTGGCAAAGAAAAACCAATATTCAATACACGCCTTAAATTTGGCATCTAAGAGGGAGATTACAAAGTATATTTATAAATGACATTTGTATAAATCAGAATACGTTGGGCGCAATTTATAATTATATCACATTAACAAGTATTAACAAGTATACCCTGAGAATTTTATGAGACCATCCCTCAGTAATAGCACCCTATTATCGCCAGTTAACAGACTGTTCTTTTCTATTTTTCGCTTCATTAGTGTCACCATATATTTATATTTTAAAGAAGAGATTTACCTGCTGGGGTGACTTTTCTGTTTCGCACGAGGTCGATTTTATTGGCAACAAGGATGAAGGGTCGATCGGAACCCAAGTTGTGACGTAAATGGTACATTGTGTCATTAACTGTTTCAAATGACGTAACATCGTCCACAGAGAACACAAACACGAAGGCATCGAAGAAACTCTCGCAGACAATATCCTAAAAGTAATATAAATATATTTGATGAAATAAACTTATATGTGTACATTATTTCCTCGTAAAAGTGATTAATTTCAAGATTTTCAAATAAATGTTACATTTCATTAATTTGTTACCTGATCAACATTGGAATCCATGAATTCTAGAGACGATTCTTCGCCGTCAAGCAATACTGATACATTCATGGAGTTGCTGTTTTCATCTGGAAAAAATTAATGAAGTCCATAAACTACAAATCAAAATGCAAACATTTTAATTATCTCATATTAACGATTAGTTAATGTCGCAAAGATTGTACTCTACATAAATCATACGTTCATTTATTAAATAATTTTTGTCTTCGTTATAGGATTATATTTCGTACAGATAGAAGGCTTTAGTTATTTTTTTTTTTAAATAGCTTACCTGGCCCAAGGTCCAGTCCACCGGTATATTCAGAAGTCATAAACTGGTTCATAATGGCCGTTTTCCCTACACTATGAGTTCCTAGAATGCTCACACGGTAGTACCCACCAGAACAACTGGACAGAGAACTACACGTGTCACAGGAGTCATTACTCGCCATGCGTTTTCTTCTGTTGTCTTTCAAAGAACTACTTCTTGAAGCACTTGTGGATCTGTTCTTATTTCTTATAGAGTCACCATGGTTTATCAAACCTTTTGAAGTCATTTTGAATGATCTCACACGTTGGAAGGACTCATTGGAATCCGCACGTGAAGACTGCTCAATTTCAGGTGAAAGGTAGGTGCAATCAACCTCCGAATAGTCCAATGGAAGACTGTTTCGTCTGTTTTTGTCCATTTGGTACGTATTCTGGTCACGTTTGACCTTTCTCATAGAACAGGAACGTGAATGCGGTGCAGATATAGAGGGACGACCAATACGAAAAAAATTAGACGTCGCGGGAGGATAATCAAAATATGGAATAGTTTTTATGCATTGCGTTGAATGTGACAGGGAAGTCGCGTCCTCTGAAGTCGATTCGAATATTTTCTCCTTTGTCATGGTGTGAAACTCGTGCAATATACAATGTTTACTTCAATAAACAACTTTCACCGCGAATGCATAAAGAAATTTCCTCAAGTAAAAGCACTGCCTGCGATGAAGCCAAAGTTTGTATGGATATTGACTGAAGTTAGATGAGAGCGATCTCTATATATATAGTTTCCCGCTTAAGTATCATGTGGTCTCATTACTCATCCGTACAATAGCACTTGAAATGCTTTCGATGTTGGCTTAGAGAGAGTGCAAGCATACAAACATTTTAACGCTGCAATGTCAAAAAATGTTTTATAAAGATAGAATTGACGTCTGCAGTTAATCCAAAGCTATTATAGTGAAAGCGAGTTAGCAAATGAAAGTCGGACTGTGTTTACACCCTGGCTTAAGTTTCCGACAAAAAGTGTACCCGTTGAATTTTCTTTTTCTTCAATCTTGCAAAACACTGTGGGCATATATATACTATTTTATTTATTTATTTCCTCGCAATTATCGTCCTTAATACTGTTTTAATAATGTTATAAAGTAATCAAAATTTATATTTTTCAAAAAAGTTAATCTCTAAAAATGAAATATAGTATTATATGTTCTGGTACAGCAATAATCATGGTTCAAAATCGGTCACTGTAGCTAAGTTTTGAAAGCACCCGACTCAAATGTAAAGGTAACTAAGATGCCACACTTTTCGCCATTGCAATATAACTACCTTTATACTTTTCTGTAGAATTTAAAATGCTTACCTCCAGAAGAGAGACAGGAAGAGAACTTGATTATAATTTTAAAGTATGTTATCCAGGTAAGTTGTTTTTTAAACGCCTTTTATTACTGAAAATGAACTTGAAGCGAATCATCATAGATTGATTTTAACATTGAAAAATTTTTACATAAAATATGATTTTGACTGTTTCATTTGAATAAATAAATCGACATAAAAAAGGTAGAGAATTATTATTTATGGAGTTAATATTTTGGAATTCATGACAAAAATAAAATAATTTGCATCGTCAGTATTAAATCTTGTTTAAAGTAACATGGATATACAAACTTACTTCCAAAATTTGATTATGTCTTTGGAAGAAAATATTGTATTTTAACGATGGAAAAAAATATCAAAAGAATATTTAAATAAATATTTAGTCTCACTCTTAGGTATAAATACACGAACGTATAATTGTTAGTTTAAAAAAAACATTAAAAGTCACTCTTTGAAATTGATGCTCATTTTTGACAGTCTGTCTATCTCCTCAAGACAGGGACCGCCCCTTTTTGTAAGACAGTTACTGTTAAAATAAAGTGGGTATTTGCAGTACATGGATAATTTTTTTTTCAAAAATGCATTACTTAGCATAACAATAATCAATTTCAAAATATCTTTTCCGTAATAAATGCCGTTTAGTTGGGGTTACCTCAGAACTTTGGAGTTGTATATTTGGTTGCAGAGGATGTCCGTTGCTTGGATTTTTTTTGTTTTTTGAAAATATAAATAAGATGTTTTTTATATTTTGTGTTTTTTTTTGTTTTAAAGCCCAACTGATTAATTAGTTTTATCGATATTCCTTAAAAGTGCTTTGTAGCAATATCAGATGTCATTATGTTACATTAAATGTTTTTAAAAAATTAACAATTTTGTAATAAATAACTTTGAATTGCTTAATTTTTAACTTATAAAGTAAGAATTATTTCAGAAATCCTAACTTGAAATTAACATATCCTACATGTAGATAATTTTCAAAATTTCTTTTGACCCTTTTCTAAGTTGGATTTTTCACCTAGCATGTAAAGACCTTTCATAAATTAAAATAATATCAACTTTCAATTTTTACACCCGACACCCTTTTTACCAACCTGAATTGGACGATTTTTCATAATGAGAGACTTTCATACAAGTGATAATTTTTCTGAGGATGACATCAGCAGACCGACCTTTCTCACGTCATACTTCTACAGAGCTGCTAATATCTTTTAATTCAGCTGACCATTTTGCCGCTATTAATCTTTAATTCTATAAATTAGATATTGAACAGTGATTTTCTTTGACATTTGATTACATTTTCGTGAGGAAATTTATTAAAGCATTTTACTTTTTATCATACATTTGTGATAGATATACTTGAGTATACATGAACCAGTGACATGTGTTTTCTTGACGTGTTAAGTATGATTTCTAATTGCACTTGGCAAAATTCTCTGTTTTTCCAAATATTTTGGCACCACCACATTCCCTTTAACATTATTCATAAACGATGAAAACAAGAGAGAAAAGATTAAAAAGTATACCATGGCGAAGTGTAAATGTTCTGAAATCCAATTGTAAAATCAGAAATCGAAAACTGTTAAGTTTTTAAATAGTCGCTTACTACTCTCATTGTTAGAAAGCAATACTTTAATTTAGAAATAGGAGGTGGAATCAACTATTTATGTGTTGATATTATCACTGGTCTTTAGAATCATAGTAGATACATGTATCTAAAACTTTTATTTTGAAAGAATAAAATAAGACTTAGATTCAACAAAAATGATACTCTTTTGGATAAAGTGACAATAAACAACAATTACATGTATCATTAAGATTAGAATATCTACCAATCTCAAATATAAAAAAAAATAAAATATCATAAATATTTACCCAGGCTTAATGTCTAAATCCTAACTTTATTTATAATTTTTTTCAGTTATTTTCAAAGTTTTAATATTTATTTTGCGACCCTCATCACTCATTTTAGCTGTGGGCAATGACAAAATGAAGTTTACGATCAGTGATCAATTTTAAAATAAAACCAATCTGTAAACAAAGCACAAAACATGAACCTCCTAAAATCTAACGACTTGAATAAACTGTTCAAAGGAGCATATATGCTCTGTTGACAGGCACACCGCCATCGGCCAAAAGCCTTAATAAGGAAAACCATATATACCCTATCTCAATAAAAGCAATTCATATGAAGAAAAAAAAACGAACCAGTGATAGGATATATTTACTAAAACATGTAGAAAACGATAATGATGACCATAAAGTTTGAGAAATAGTGACTTTAGGCGATGATATTGAAATCCCTGAAACATCAACTTATCTGTCAGTAGCCTGCCTTGGTTTTGAAATGAAAATTCCTAAACATTATAAATACCGGGGTACTAAGAAAATCCGGATTTGACTGAAGCCTTTAGAAAAAACAAAGCTGTTCAATTCTAAAATTTCGTACGTTTAATTTCTTTCCAAACAATTCATATCATGAAATGTTTTTGACATAAAAAGAGAAAAAAGGACTTCAAGACTGAGACCTTATGATATCAAAATAATGATAGGGCCTACAACACCTGAAATAAAAAAAACAATTACCAAAAAATGTAATACATATTTGCGGTGACAAAATGAAATTGATTACATAATTCAATTTCAGTATATCTGAACTAGTGAGAATGCCGCTGTCTAAATACATTTAAAAACTCGTGCTATACTTCACAAAATTCCCTATTATCAACTTTCATTTGACCTTCTTTCAACTAATTACAACATTATCAAAGACCTATGTATATAATAAACAAATGCTACGTATTTAAGTTTAATGTTTTATTCGAGTTGGCAGGTATTGTCCACAGTGGTCTACACAACAGTGAAAATGCATACCCCCAACATCAACATAAGCTGTTCGTGCTACGGACACATACACAAATTATCTTTTATAAATATTATTTTGCTTTAGCTTTAAATTGTATAAGATATAATTTTCAAAGTGAACATCACATATATCAACATCAACCATCACATATATCAACATCAACCACAAAAAGTCAACAAAATATTTCATAATACAAAAACATAAATTCATTTTCACTTTCATTGATGCCTTCTTTGTATAGATGGATAAATAAATTCCGGCTTATCACATTTATAAGTTTTTTCCACAAAAAGGAGGTGAATGAACATATATAAAAGGATACATAACGGCGCAATATATAATATATATATATATATATATATTATATAATATATAATCTTTATAATAATAAAGAGGCGATAATGATAACTTATTTTCTTATGTCATGAGCAGTGCTGTAAACAATGACTCGAATATTAAAAAAAAATATTAGGCAAGTTTTCTTCAAGAAAATATTTTATAAATTTTTGTGACAGAGATTTGAAATTAAAAATCGCCGATAAAAGGAGATAATTCAAATGTCTGAATGAAGAAGTGTTAGAATTAATACATAATGACAAAAAGGATCGAGTCGAATTTATTTAAACATTAACATTTAAATAATAATTTTTGACTAAATTCATACATTTATATGATTATCCTACTCAAAAGAAATTATTAGAGATTATTCGCATTTATGACATGCTCAAAATTGGTACATGTATTACGCAACACTACAACTCCAGCTTACAAAACAAATGATTACTTTTGGTCCCAGCTAGAAAAATAAATTCTTGTCATCATTTTTCAATTGAAGATACGTGGTTTATTGTGGAGAAGTTTTAGCTTTGAATATAATTGGGAAACGAATTTCAAAGGATATGTAGTGTTATGTACAGAAAAAAATATTTTCTTAATTATTATTATTTTCCTTTTTGATGTTGAGTTTCCTTTCATGTTTAGTTATCACGAGGTTTTGACGAATCTTCATTGATATACCAGTTGTAACTGGTTTACAAGTTCGTACCGGTATTTTTATTTATATTAATGAGCAAAAATATCATTTCTGAATACGACTTGAAATATTGTAAAACTATGGATCATAATTATGAAACATATAATTACGTGATGTCTACGTGACGATTAGAAATCAGGAGAAGTACATACAAACCTGGCTATACCAGTCGTAAAGTCACGTTAAGAAACATAGAGTGATGTTATAAAACAAAATATTACATGTAAGTACATATGCTAATTACACGTTGTAATGGTGGCATATTGCTGTCTCCTACATGCAAGATCAATTATGTCGACGTGCAAGAAAAATATTTCAACATGCAAGTTAATTACGTCTACATGCATGAAAATTATGTTAACATTCAAGTTACCAGTCTAATTAGAGAATATATATTTTTTTAATTTTTAGATGGATAAATTTACGTACTAACACCAGTATCTGACATCATACATGTAAGATGCAACATAAGTGTGTTGGCATGCGATGTTTTT